ATTTGTCCTTTCCTTCCACAGAAGGCATTTCCAGTATCTTGCATACACAACAACTTGTTCAGGTTAAGCATATTTTTATTAAAGCACTATTAAATGGTGCTCTTAATGTTTATCTTTGCATTTTAAAAGGGATATAGATGTTGCCAAAACAGCAAGGATAGCATGTGGGGTACTTTGCTGTTCTCTAAACTTTTTCCTCCCTGGAGTCACAGAAGTCCCTTCCTGGATTAAGTCACTCAGGTACTCAATACAGTGTTTCCTTACATCATTTAGCATTGTGCCCCTTAGCTTTACCCAGTGTCATTTTAATAAATGATCGGGTGAAGAACAGCTTTAAACTATCTGTAAAATTGCCATAGACATTCATTATGTTGCTTAACGTAAAAATACCTTTCAACTAATTTCCACTTGGACTTTAGTACTAGAATGAAGTTTGCCTATGTTTTCTTTTGTCAGTTAACAAAAGCTGTGGAAGGCATGGGACCATTCTTTTTGCCTAGGAATCTCAGAACTTAATTTTGAGGATCCTCCTTAGCCTACATTTTCTGACATAGTTCTTATCCTACATCTCCCTTTCCCCCAACCACCATCAGATATTTCTTTCTGTAAGTTATTCATCCCATCTTTGTTTTAAGGTACATATATGTTCTTTTATGATTCCCTTTTAAAAATCCCAGAAGTGGGAGGATATAAAAATTAGTTATTGTAGACTTCCTCAAAATGTTCTTTCAATCTGCTTTTAAACGGCATATACAATCATTCTCGGTTTTGGCATTTGGTTCAGGTGACATTCACTTGCAAGTTACCTTACCAAAGTCCTACCCAGAATTGTGTACAATCCCAGCAAATGAGGCTCTGCCCCTCTCAAGAGTATTCTCAAACAGCAATGCATATCTCATCTAATGTATTACTATTTTGTGAGTCACTCACAAGCTTCAGTACTTTTTTTTCATTAGTAACAACTGACTCACAGCACACCTTGCAGCTGCAGAAGCCCCACCTGATGCCCAGACCCCTGGTGCAATGCAGCTGCTCTGAGATATGCTGAAACACCACAGCTCAGGAATCAGTTCTTATTTTCCTTCAAGTAGCAGCACTGATTTCCTTACTTTCAACTGTCATGAGCTGAACTCATTTTTCAATGAAGCCTAACATCTGTGCTTCCTTCCTTCCAGTAGGAAAATGTTATTTCCCCAGAACTTATTTCTTCAGTCAAAGGTGTCTGGCAGTTCTCAAGAGAGCTGTATTTACAAAGATGCCCTATAAGCAACTGGGAAAAACTCTTTGGGGTTCTGAGGGCCCTTAGAGGAAAGGCTGATGGAAAAGAGGAAGGGAGTGAATGCCTCTTGAATCCCGGCTCTGGGCTAGGCACTGTACCTACTCCTTGGCAAATTTCTTTTAGCCTTATCAGCAGGTCTCTGATTTAGACACATTTATATGCATTTTTCCCATGAGAAAACAGGCTCAGAAGGGCTAAAGAGCTTGCTCAAATTGCATCACTGTTGTCTTAGTCCATTTTGTCCTGCTATAACTGAATTCCAAAGACTAGGTACTTTATAAACAACGGAAATTTATTTCTCGCAGTTCAGGAGGCTGGAAAGTTCAACATCATGGTGCTGGTAGGTTTGGTGTCTGATAAAGGCTATCTCCATTCACAGATGATGCCCTGAACACTGCATCCTCTGTAGGGGAGAAACACTGTTCTTCACATAGCAGAAGCATGAGGGAAGAGCTCTCATGACATGAACACCTCCCATTAGGCCCCACCTCCCAACACTGTTGCCTTGGGAATTAAGTTTCAACATGAGTTTTGGAGGGGACAAAAATGTTTAAACCATAGCAACTTATTACATGGTGAATCCTGGATTCTAGCCCAGTTGGATGGATGATGGGGCCCATTCCATATTCACTACAGAAACTGCTCTGAGAGAGTGAGGCTGTTAATATGCTCCTTCAGACTGGTTACACAGAGCACCCTACAGTTCAGGCCACGAGCAGGAACTCTGAGGCTGCAGGGCCTGGGTTCAAATTCCAGCTCTGTTACTTGTGCATGACCTTGGACAAGTTACTTAATTTCATGGGGTGCCTGTTTCATCACCTTTAAGATAGGGATAGTTGTTTGTAGCAAATTAGTTATTCCTGGCACAATATAAGTATTCAACAACTGTTGGCTATCATTATCCATTTATATCCCACTGGGTTTGCAGGGTAAAAAAAAATGCTGTTTTCTTGCCCAAATAATGGTGTTTTTATGTTGCCTATCACTTGGAAATCATTCATGTGGGATGGTAGACCCAGTAGTGGGGTCATCTTTGGAATGACCTGAACAGTTTTTTAAAATATTGATGCTTGTGTCCTACTCCTAGAGATTCTGATTCAGTTGGTCTCCTAGGCATGTAGGAGAAGGAACATTTTAAATGCTATTTAATGCCCTTAGTGGTTCCCAAAGTGTATCCCTGGACCAGCAGTCTTAGTATCACCTAGGAGCTTGTTTGCTGGAAACACAAATTCCCAGGCCCCACCCCAGACCTAGTGAATCAGATACTTTGGGAATGCAGCCCAGCAAAATAAGCCCTCTGCATCATTTGATGTCCATGAAAGTCTGCAAATCATTGCTCTAAGGGAAGGCAGTGACCTACAAGACTGCCTCATCCTAAACACAAGGCCCAAAGACTGATGCCAACCTACAGGGCTTATCTGTTCATTTACATAGGGCAGTGTAGCTCTAGTATACTGGTCTCCCCTAGGGCCATAATATGTCATGACTTTTTCAGTCCATCCTCTCCTAGCCCCAAGGAAAGCTGGGTGTTCATCAGAAGTTTCTTTATTAAATGTTAAAAGATATCAGCTGTCCTTTGCCTTGGTTATGCTCCTTTTTCTCTGCTCCCACTATTCTGCCTATTTTCCCATAATCAACACAATCTTTCTCTGGTATTAATATACTTAAGGAGGTTTTAATTGATTTTTCCAGGCTATAGAGACACTCTGCATCTTCTAGGTGACTTTGGGTAACTGCTCTGATCCCTGATGTGAGGCTCTGGCACTCTCAGAGGCAGGGGTATCTCTTTTCCCCTCTTTCTTATAGAGAAACTCTCCATAGCGTCACGTGCTTCAGCACCTGAGTCTTGTTCCTGCTTCCTTATCCATCATTATTCTCTTTTGAAAATAAAGAAATTTTGCATTAAACATTTGCCTTCCATGTTTATCCAAATTATGTGGAACTTTTGATCAGAAGATGCTTCCCTAAGCTCACACAATCTATCTTTCATCTGATTAAAGAGAAACACTATTGTAGCTTCTAGTGGAACAAATGCCATCTCTGTGCCTTTGCATTTTAACTTCTTACAGAAAAAAACACTAATGTTTTCCTCATTGGGCCACATGTAACTACCTTCTAGGAAATCTAAACTAAAACTTTACGAATTCTTTTTATAATGTACTTATAAATAACTTTGCATCAGCTTTCAGCAACTGAACAAGCAGCAGAATTATGAAAACAAGGGCAAAAGAACAACAGTAGAGCATGAAAGTGGGAGAGGAAGCAGAGGAGAGATGATGTGAGTGAGTCAGCAAGGAGGGAAGGTAGGTTCTGAAATCTAGGCTAAGAGAAGCTATGCAGGCAAGTGTTACACTCAGCCTTGGTGATCGAAGCAAAAAAGGAAACACAACAAATATCATTGCTCTACAGCAGGCTGTTAAGGGAGGCTTTTCCTATTGCTGCAGAGTTTCAGTTGATTCCTCAAAACCAAAAACAAGGGGTGTTATGTGCCCACTACACATTTTATGCAGGGGTGCTAGATCATCCACACTGACCTTGCTAAGCAGTGACCCTAAGCCCATCACCTACCTCAGGTGTGTGCAGCAGAGGGGAAGAGGTGAATGAGGAGGACTAGAGAGGGGGAACTTATTTCAAGAGAGTTGTCAGTATGCTGAGAACATGAATCATCCACTTCAAGTGAAGAGAGCCACTCAGAGAAGGTAGGATGTCTCCCAGAAGGAGAGACTGACAGCTTGCTTCCTGGCTGGATTTTTCAGAGCCCTAGAAACAGTTCAGCCTTAAGCCATCACAGGACTGAGACAGAATGTGAGGAGAGTAAGGGCTGAAAAACAACCTATTGGGTACTATGTTCATTGCCTGGGTGACAGATTCATTCCTACTTCAAACCTCAGGAATGTATCACACAATATACCTTTGTAACAAGGCCGGGTGCGGTGGCTCGCGCCTGTAATCCCAGCACTTTGGGAGGCCGAGGCAGGCGGATCACCAGCTCAGGAGTTCAAGACCAGCCTGAGCAACGTGGTGAAACCCCGTCTCTACTAAAAATACAAAAATTAGCCGAGCGTGGTGGCACATGCCTGTAATCCCAGCTACTCAGGAGGCTGAGGCAGGAGAATCACTTGAACCCGGGAAGCAGAGGTTGCAGTGAGCCGAGATCGCGCCACTGCACTCCAAGTTGGGTGACAGAGTGAGACTCTGTCTCAAAAAAAAGAAAAAAAGTCTGCACATGTGCCCCTGATTCTAAAATAAAAGTTGGAAAAAAAAAAAAAAAGAATGTAGGCAGAGGGTTTTTAGGAGGACTAAGAACTCTCTGTCCTAAACTCCCTGTGTCCCAAGAGTTTAGGAAAACAAAGACTGGAGGCTGAGTTTTATGATGCTTGTGATGTAATCTGATATGTTTGACATAGGCAGGGTGATACTGTGTGTGTTTGCTAAGCTGTATACTCTTACCCACACTCCAGAGGCAGCTACCATGAGGATATATAAAGTTATCTTTACCTTTGAGCAACACCAGAAGTTTTGCTAATTAGCATAATGAATACTTAAAATGGGTTTCATGTTGTGAAATTAGCAGTTCAAAATATTTGAAAGACTCTCCTCATACTTGCATGAATTGGGCAGAGATTTAGGGGAGACTGTAGCATAAGCCCTTAAAGCCACCTAAGGCTCGGTCCTTAAGTGGTTCTATAACCAGCAACTGGTTCAAAGGAATCTGGCTGTCTGATGCTAACCCTCCAGTTTATTTGAATCTTGCCTCTATAATATCATCATATTCACCCTCAATTAACCTTTCATGCAAAGGAAAGGATCTTTCATGATAACCCAATAGCAGAATTATGGAGGAATAACCAACCCTCATCTTGCCTCTACATAGTAGCGGCTGCTATTATCTACCACAAAAAATCCAATGGTCGTGGCTGGCCAAAACAGCTTAGGACAGTTCATCACGCTGAAGCTCACCTGAAAAAAAAAATCGAAGGTGAATGATGGCTGGAGCTACCTGGGATGGAGGAGTGAAGAGAGGGGCTGATTGCATGTGGTGAGCACCCCTAGAGCTGAGCAGAGCAGAGAGAGGAGCATAGCTTTGGGGCAGTCATCTCAAAGGAGACCCCACCCAAGAAGACTAGCTGCAGGAGTGAGATGGCACCAACAGAAAGCTGGTTCTTGCAGGGGGACTACTGATGTAGGAACCGAGGGGAGAGTTGTTAGGGGACCACCAGTGATTAGCTTGCCTTGCCAGAGAACTTTGTGGTTGGATGTCTCCGAAAGGCTCCTGGAGTGAAGAGCCACACACTGAGTCAATGAAGTCTTAGCTGCCCCTTACCTCTCCTCCCTCCCATTTACCCTCTGCCACCCTCGAAGCAGCCAGAGGCAGCAGAGTGAGGGGCAGAGCAGTGGAAGAATAAGGAGGGAAACTAGTCAGGAAGCTGACCACCTTGCTCCCCAGCACCCGCTCTCCATTTCTATAGGCTTTGGGGCCTTATCAGGCCCAAATTAGGGCAGAAAAAAAGCTTTATATTGGATTTACATTGAAGCTTTGATGGCAGACTGGACTGAACTTTCCAGACCAAAAAATTAGGTGTTTAGTAAAACCTGAAAGTGACCAGAAAAGCTTTGGAATATGCCTGGCATTTCATTCAGGAAAGTGGAAGAATAATTAAACAGAGTGAGCTTTAAAAGATGGCAATGAGAGAGAATTCAGCTGCTTACTTTTCGTATCCAACCGAGTTCAACTTGATCGATCTTCTACAGGTTTCATTATTGAATGAAAGGGACTCAGTGTCTTTCCTGTAATTTTTCAAATTATTTATTCTTATATCTCATTCAGTAAAAATCGGGGGATGGGGGTGACAGTTTTCAAGCGTATTCTTTAAAACCACAAACTAGAGAGCAGTGGGGTTGGGAGGTGCAAGGATATGTATGGGTTCCCATTAGTACTAAAACAAATCATATAACAAAGCTTGGCAGGCCAGGATGGGTTTCAGTGGGCTAACATCAAGGTGTAGGCAGGGTTGCATTCCTTCTGGAGGGCAGAATCTGTTTCCTTACTTTCCAGCTTCCAAAGGCTGCCTGCATTTCTCAGCTCATGGTCCCTTCCCTGCCAGCAGCAGGGTAGCATCTTCAAATTCCTCTCTGACCCTGGTTCTCCTGCCTCCTCCTTTCACATAGAAGGACCCTTGTGATGACATTGGACTCCCCCAGTAATCCAGATAATCCAGAATAATCTTTTCATCTCAAGATACTTAATCACATTTGCAAAGTCCTTTTTGCTGTACAGAGTAACACTGTATATTCACAAGTTTGAGAGATTGGGGAATGGACGTCCTTGGAGGACCAGTCCTCTGCCTATTACAGGAGAAGCCCAGGTGCATGAGCTGGACCTGTGATTCACCTCTCAGAGAACACCCTCCCCCTTGTCTGTGGGTCAGCCAGGAATAATGGTGACAGAGAGGAAAGAGGCTCTGCGTAATCTTGGGGAAAGTACACAATCTGCCAGTACTTCAGTTTCTTCATCTGTGAAATTATAGCCTTAGCTGTCCCTAAAGTCCCTTCCAAATCTAAGCCCTATGCTCCTTTTGTCTTTTGGCAAAATAAGCATTTGAAGAAATCTGGCTATCTCAAGAACCCCAACCGATCTTCTAATGCATACTGCCAGGCCTCCACCACCCCGGGGCCAAGAGGGCTCTGACAGCTGAATTGTGGAAGTCTCTGGGTGAAGCAAGCAGCCCTTTGCTTTCTGCAAGGGATGAAGAGGGACAAGGAAGGCACTGGTGGGAGGCTTGGGGTGAGAGGTCTCTCCACCAGGGCAATGAGTTATCCTGTCCCTTTCTACTGAGTCACCACTGAAGGCCTTGGGCAATTGTGCCAGCCAGGATCACTGAAGTGGCTGCTGACTGAAAGCTAACAGAGTGGTCCAGGGAAGCCCCAGTGGAATGAGTCATGGCCAGGCCCTCACAGCCCTGCTCTTCTCAAGTTAGCATCGACTCCCTGTGATCTCTCTGGAGCCTCAGACTCTCAGAAGAGCAGGTCTCAGAACACTGGAGAGGAAAGGAACCTGAGACACCATGTCATAAACCCTGCCCACCAACCTCCCTATCATGTGACTTCTTGGGCTGGTTGTGTTTTTGTTTCCCAGCTACTCTGATAAATCACATTGTTTGGATGGCTGAGCTCTGTCTCTGGTCTGACCTTAAAATTGAGGTTCACTTTGCCCCTCAACCCCATGGGTCCAGCTCTCAGGACTTCTCCAGGCTACCTTTATCTTCCATTTTTTAGGGAGTGTCATCTACCAGCAAGAGCTCTGAGCCATAAATCAGGAAACCAGGGCTTCCTGCTTCTGTCCTCTGACCAGACAGAAATGGAACATTCACCAAGTCACATCCTCTCTTTAGGACTCATCAGGGTTTGACTGTGTTTTCCCCAGAGTCCCTTCTAGTACCAACAGGGGAGGATCAGGTAATCCTAAAAGTCCCCTTCAATTCTGAAGTCAGTCATCCTCTATCAGAATTCCTGAACACAGCCAGGCTGGCTCTGCCGGGGATAGCTGTGGCTTGTGACTGCCGTGCCTCTCCTCCTCCCAGGAAGGTACAGAATCCACAGCCTCAGGAATGCCAGGCATTCTGCCAAGGGCGCCCTTCCTTTTCTCGGTCTGGTTTCTCAGTCTCTCTCTTCCCAATCTAGACTAGACTGTCACCTCCACTCACCAATCCCGTGGAGGGATCAGGGATGGGACAGAGGAGAGTCAGAAATTGAACTGCGACTCTACTCCTCATCCGTGTGGCAGGCCTGTCATTCCTCCTCCAGTCGGGCCTGTCTAACCAGACCAGCACTCAGGTCACTCTGCGCATGAATGGGGAGGGATTCCTGCCTATCCAGTGACCCTGCTCAGTGGGTAGATGTCACCTCTGTCCCTGGAGCACCCGAAGCACCCAGGGGCCCCCACCTACCTGTTTCACTTCTCCAGGGCCTCCACGTAAGGCCACCTCCCCCACCTCAGGCGTGATCCCAGTTTGCCAAGGAACGCTTATCTCAGGATGTTTTTGGCACCTTCTGGGCCACAAAGATGCTCCCTGTAAGAGAACAAACCGCACCAGGTTGCCTTTTGACACATCTATTTCAGGGTCAGTTGGCATCTTATGTTCCCCCTAAAAAACTGAACAATCTTTTTTCTCTCATCCAGTAAGAAAAGTCTTCTTTTTATTTTTCACATGGGTTTTTGCACCCCCCTCATCTTTTCAGAAGGAGGCTCAATGCAAGTATCTGTGTTAAAACTAGCTTCCGACACTGGCCCTGCCCTTGAGTGGACTTAGCCTTCCTAAGACGGGGCTCCTTTTCTCCTGGGCATGTGCTCGGTTGCTGGAGAGAAAGGCCTATTGTTCTTGATGTGCCCAGTACACTCTGCCAGGCAACACGCTGGGTGTTCCTCCCAGGAGGTAGAAAACCACCTCCCCAAGATCGGATCATTTTATACCTTGTGTTTTGTTTGGTTTTGTTTCCGGCCTTTCCTTCTTTGCTGTACCTCCTTCCCGAGCGCTCAGAGCCCATACAGCACTTATTTCTTTCTGTTCCCTTTGCACAGAGAATTGCCTTTTGTATGCCTTTGATGTGATTGCTCAGCTTCCAAGGGAGGGGAATGAGTGTCTCGTCTCTCCCACCTAGAGGCTCGTGCTGCCTGTGGTCGGAAAGAGAGCGAACAAAGGCGTGCTTGGCCCTGAGGGAGGCTGGGGTTGGGCCCAGGCGTGGAATGTAGGGTCTCTTCTACCCCGAGGCGGGAAGTCGAGCAGTGCTTTGGGGTCTGCGGGGCTCTCCAGCGACGACTTGGGGTGCTCATGAAAGGGCTGAGCTGGGCAACAATATGAGGAGAGGTTTTGCCTCTTGGTCCCTGTCCCATCTGCTTAGAGTATCCGGGTTGTCTGGGGCTCCGAGGGAGGAGCACTACAGCAGGAGCCAGGAGTTCGCCTGCCTCTGCCACCGTGTGACCCCGCATGACACTGACCCTCCCAGGGGGAGCCTCCCTTTCCTGGCCCTTGAGTGGGGCAATAACTCCTGCCCCACCCGCTGGCTTTCTGGGTCTCATGTGGTGAGGAGCAAACACGACACTCTCTGAGGAAACGCCGTGAGAAGCAAGAGCCCTTTGTGAGTCAGAGGTGGTGGCTCTTGCTGGCTTTCCCACTGTTTACCAACCGCCCCCAACCCAATTTCCCGTGAGCATCTAGTGACCTCATGCTACCCCCTTGTGGCCAAAATGCGACTCCTCATTCATTGCTGTGAAATTACATTGCTATTAAAATCGTAAGAAAAAATAATGAAAGTAATTTAATAATAATGAATATATAGTAATTAACCCAGACCAGAATGCTTTACTTTTCATCAATAAAGCCATAAAATATAATTTTTAATACCTTTTGGTGTAGGAAATGGCGCATGAAGAAAAAAGTGCTTAATGTGGGCCCAGACCCAAGGTGAGCGTGGGGCTGAGGGCGCCCTTCCCCGCCGCTACCCAGCTGCTGGCGGTGCCAGGGAGGCCTGCCCGAGGCCAGACGGTGGCCACTTGCCGAGGCACCCCTGAAAGGGCCTATATGTCCCCAAGATGAGGGGGCCAGGATGAGGGACAGGTGAGAAAGCACTTGGCCGCTCTTCCTCAGCTCTTTAAGATCTTTTCAGGTCCTCCAGGATTACAAAACACTTTAATGACGATCTTTTTGTTTACTGAGATAGAACCGGTTGTCTGGAGGGAAATTAGAGCTCCTACATATTGAAAAATAAGTGACCAATAACTGCCTTGTTTCCTCGTTACAATCTCCTTCCTCAGACACAACTTCACTGACCACTCACCACAGCCCTGAAGCAGAACTGTCCTCATTTTCAGACGAGGAACTAAGAGGAACCTGGAGTCTGAGAGATCATATGCTGGTCAGATGGAGCAACAGCTCGAACCCAGGGATTCTGATTTCAAACCCCTCACTTTTTTCTTTTCTTTTTTTGGGGGAGGATTTGGGGGGACAGGGTCTCTCACTCTGTCACCCAGGCTGGAATACAATGGTGTGAGCACAGGTCACTGCAGCCTCACACTTCTGGGCTCAAGCAATCCTACCACCTCAGCCTCCAGAGTAGCTGGGACCGCAGGCATGCACCACCACACCCAGCTAATTTTTCTATTTTTAGTACAGACGGGGTTTCACTATGTTGCCCAGGTTGGGGTCGAATTCCTGAGCTCAATCAATCTGCCTGCTTTGGCCTCCCAAAGTTCTGGGATTACAGGCATGAGCCACTATACCTGGCTCCCCTCACTCCTTTTACTATGTCAAGGGCTTGGAGTTACTGGGTGAATCCCAGCCCTGCAAAATGAGAACAGTCTATATGGAGAGGAGGAAATGCTGCAAAAAATGTACCAAGACTTTTCCTTCCACACCTGTGGAAAAAATCTAGTCAACAGTCATCCTCTAGTCATGATGAATAATCTGGAAACTCATGCCTTTGACCTGGATAAGTGCTTTCCTTCTCCCTTCTCCTCTGGCAGAGATTCCTTCAGAATACTCACCTCTCCAGATGTCTTCTTTACTTTCCTGACAGCCTATGCCCAGGTTTCTGAGGAGTTTCCTTTCAGACGTGGCTTCCTGGTGGTGTAACTGGGATGCAGTCTTGCCCTCTGTGTCCCTCCAGACGCATGTCCTCCCTCTCTTTCTGAGAAGGCAGGATCATGGACATCTAGAGGCCTACTGCAGAAGTGAGAATTTTGTTGACTTAGTGCCAAGTAATGTCCTGCTTTGATGAAACCAAT